GTTTGTAAGGTGTAGGCAGGGATTACATTTAGATTTTATATGCACGTGTAAATGCTTTAAAACTTGCTTTCTTCATGAATCTTGTTTAATCTTAAAGTGCATTACTATATTTTTCAATACCAATTACTTGTTAAAGTTTGTACAATCAGTGGGATCAGTTGCAATGCATATATGTGAATGATAAAAGTAAATTGCACATTTGTCGAAGGAAATGTAAGGTGCTTCATGAAATGTTTTGTAAAAGATATGTTCATTAAATTTCAATATTTTCCTAATGTTCTTGTGCTTCTTTATACCAAAACAAAGGAAAGACATATTGTTTTGGTTATTTATAGCAAAGTATTGTATCATTTTAATGGTCCGGCCCACTTGACATCTACCGAGGCCGTATGTGGCCCACCATGTGAAATGAGTTTGACACCCCTGGGTTAAGCAGTCAATTTTCCATGTCATGTCCCCTTGAAGACTCATTTTAGCATTTATAAGTGTTGTGTTCTTTCTTTTTAACACTGAACACACACCCTTTTCTTCCCAGCCTACGATGTCAGTCTCTTCTCCACTTGCGTTTATTCAAGCTGAGGAAAGACAGCGCTCTTAAATACTCCAAAACTCTTACAGAGCAATTAAAGGTACTTGTCGCCACTACAACTTGAACTCTTGTTTCGGTTTGCCGCTTAAAACCCACAGATGAGCATTTACAGCAAATGCGGTGAATGTAGTTTCCTGTTCTCTCACTGTGTTCTAATCTTCCTCATCCATTGACCAGAACTCTCTGAGTAACACCCAGGCTCCCTCTCCTGGAATGGGGAAGTAAGTCATCCCGCTTCTACGCAGTTGCTTTGCAAGCTAGAAAAACATTTACAATGGACAGCAAGTACATTTGACCTAAAGCTATTATTTCTTCTTCTTCTTCTTCTTCGTCTTTTCCATATGCAGCAAGGCAGCGGGCATGCCTTCGCCAGTGTCCCCAAAGCTGTCGCCGGGTACGGCGGGCAGCTACTCGTCAGTGAGCAGCAGCAGCAGCGCCGGCTCGTCCGTCACGATACCTCAGCGCATCCACCAGATGGCCGCCAGCTATGTGCAAGTCACCTCCAACTTTCTGTACGCCACTGAGGTGTGGGACCAGGCGGAGCAGCTGGCCAAGGAGCAAAAAGGTAAGCCATCATTCACTTTTATTTAGTTTTTCTTTTCTTTCTTTCTTTCTTTATTTATTTTTGAATGGGCGCTGAAATGAGTGAAATCCAATATATGGATAAAAATAGTTCCTAATCAGAATCTCATCAAAAAAAGAAATGAAAAAAATGAAATGAAATTTCCTCAGAATTATATTGAACAATTAAATAGTAATTGTCAGGTTTTCTGAAGTTTGCTTAGGTCACTTGAAAGACACTACTACATATGAAACTAAGCTATTTTTATTATTATATTTACAGCAATAGTATATTTAAAATTTAATAATATTAAAGTGTGTTCTTACTGGTTTTATATTGAGTGGTATACTCGAGATGACCAACTCAGCAGAAGCTTGCATAATGTTGCTTCCAAGCTGGCTGTGCTGAATACCCCCTCAGCTTGTGTTCGGTCTGCCCGCAGCGTAGGACTGAGGTGTTCAGAGGCAGTATGGTGCCACGGGACATCCTGACTGCTGTAAAATAAAAAGAAGAGGAAACAGTAGTAGTTGAAGAACTAAAAGAAGCTAGGCTAACTTTGATCTGGTAGTTACACAGTGGTTATAAACTTTTTTTTAGATTATAGGCCCTGGCCTGAGGACTAAATGAATCTTCTCCCCTCACTTTAACTAACGTCTTTGGCACCAAGATGCCACAAGATGGCGCCAGAGCAATACTTTTATATGACACAGGGCTTTGGCCTGAGAAGAAAATGACTTTTTCAGCAATTCGGGGATAGATTCAACTAAAACTGCAATACTGGTTATTTTGCTTTTGGCTTTTCCCTGACATGTGCTCATCTCTTCTTGTTCTTTCCTCAGACTTCTTCCAGGAGTTGGACAAAGTGATGGGCCCTCTCATTTTCAACACCAGCAGCATGACTGATCTGGTGCGTTATACCAGGCAGGGCCTGCACTGGCTGCGACTGGATGCCAAGCTGGTTCCCTAGCGAGGACTCTGGGTTTTTACCCCCCACCCCCCTTCCGACCCTGCACGCTGCTCTTCCACCCTCCCACAGCCACACCTCAGCGAAACGCACACAGTCCACCTCTGATCACACACACACACACACACACACACACATGACTATGAACTTTTCAAGAATATCTCCTAGTGCGTGTGTGTGCACGCATCTTTTTATTTGTGTGTGTGTGTGTGTGTGTGTGTGTGTGTGTGTGTGTGTGTGTGTGTGTGTGTGTGTGTCTGTGTCTGCACCAGCTTGCCCAAAAACTGAGCTAATTGGAACCATCCCATGGAGAAGCAACATGCAATGCTCTTCACATATCTGCATCTTGGCAAATAGATGAAACATGTTTTTTTTTGTTTTGTTTTTTAGCCATTTGGCCCTGAAGTGCTCAGTGATTTTATTTATTATTTATTCCCTGAGCTTCAGTCGATAGGCTACTTTGGCTTTTTTATTCTGTGGTTCCGCTCCCTGCCCCCACCAAAGTACCTCGCACGAAACACCAAAGGTGCTTTAAAAATGTCAAATTAAGGTTTTTCTCTTGATTGTTTTTTGTGCCTTCAGTGTGAGCTACAGGAAAACAAGCAGTCCCCTCTCTCCATATGTGTTTTTTCTGTTCCTCACCTTTTTAAAATTTTTCAGTGACAATGTTTTGTGTCTATAAGCTTTGCTTGAAACCAATCTTCCCTGCATCCGCGTCATTTAATATTTTGGGCGGCACACCTGTTAGATCGTAAGGAAAGGGCTACTGTGCGCATCCATAAATAATCTTAGCATTATAATATTTTCTTTTTTACACCTGTGATAATCACAATTTCATGATTTAAGCCACATGAGATAAATGAATTGTCGTATTTATCCAGTTGCACAGAGGTCATCCGGTTCCATGGAAATGGCCGTTTTAGTCTCCCAGTCTTCTCAAAACGATCCCAGTAGCGATTTAGTGCCGCTTGAGGCCAAGGAAGTCGGCGGCACTTTCCATTGCATTGCTTTTCCTCCGTAGCCGTAGAGAAATATCCTCGAGGAAAGTCACTTCCATACAGTGTTGTTTGCCCAGAGTGTATTTGTATGAGTCACAGCAGGGAGTGTTTGAAGTGGTGTCCACAAATACAATGCAGTTATTTCGATTCACGTTTATCGAAGGCGCGCCCTGGTGGGAAACCGATCTGACAGCTGATAAGCAAGGGAAGAAGCAGATTGGCTGTGTTGCATTTATAGCAAAATGCATAGAATATATCTCAAATATATAGATTTTATTTATGTACATAGGCGGAATACTCCATTCTAATACATGGATTTTAAAACTATTTGACTTTTTTTTTTTTTTTTGGTATGTTTTTCCAATAGAACGCAAAACATGTGGACTTTGTTTCAATTAAAATCATCAGTAACTGGACTTAAATTGAGACAAATGTAGAATTGAATGCCTCCCCTCTAATCGACTCCGTGCAAATGAAGGCCTAAGTCAAACAGTTACGCTGTCAAGTGGACAATTAGAAAAATCTTCCATTGCAGCAAAAATATCCAAAAGTATTGAAGTAATGATGACGTGTGGTAGTCGTGGAAAGGCCTTTAATTATCATGCCAGTCAATATACGTCACTGAACAAAGCTATATTCTCATAAATGACTAATATTAGGACCAATGAAGTGTAATGTGAACGTTTTAAATTAAACAGCAGTGCAAAACATTTGCATTACGTGTTAAAAAGGACATGAATCATAGAAATCAGCAAATTGCAATGTTAGGACGGTAAAGAAAAAAAATTCGTATGGTGTGACAGTTGCTTTCGACACAACAGGACAGGTGAAGTAAGTGTTGTACGTTACGGGATACCCTGCCACACAGGCGTCATCCCGGGCTCTGGTGCTACCTCCGAAAGGCAGAATATGTGATTTTCCATCCCGTGTTGGAAGTCGGTACCGTTCATACAGCACAGCTGCATGGAAACGGGCACTGTGAAAGGAACAATGTTCGAAAATGTCTAGACCAATCGGAAGGAATATCACTTCCGTCTAGTTGTGCTTTCCAGCTCATTTTTCAGCTTCAGAGTAGCCCCCCCCCCCCGTCGTTGTCGTCCTCCACCGACTCCTGACTTTCTGGCTAGACTGTTTAATTTCCCTCTTAACACTTCTAAAAGGAAAAAAAAAATATTTTTTAATCTATGCAGGATTTCTTTCTTTTTTATGAAAAGGATAGGATGTGTTGAGGCTTTTTAAAAAATTAATTCATAGGCTTGTTTTTTGTTTTCTACTTTCAAAGAAATTCAAATGTCCAATGCCTTTTTTGCAATGTGGTTTTTCATACGTTTGTGTATATTTTGTAACAAAACAAAAGAAAAAAAAAAAGAACAGATGGTTTGTGCCATTCTGTACCGAAAGCTGAAGGCCACTTTTTCTCATAGGAAAATCCTCTGAGGGTTTTTTTTTTTTTTTTTTTTTAATGTCCAGGCCAGCCAACGTGTTCATACACTGGTACACTTTGTAAGTACAAATGTATACATCGAAGCGTCGTCCGTAACCTTTTTTTAATTTATTTTTCTGACACCCCTCCCCCCCCTTTTTTTTTTTATAACAGCTGACGCAACAGGAAGATGTAAATCTATCGGGGGGTGTGATTGTTTATGTTGAAATGTCATTGTAAGTAGTAATTTTAATGAATCCAGGGTATGTTGTTTTTCCCAATAGGAAGATGTTAACATTTGCATGTTTCTATTTAAATGTATAAAGTGTACATATGATTTTTCTCTAAAGGCGAATTTCTACCACAGGAGGACATTTTTATTGAAATTCAATCTCATTGTAAATATATTTGTGAGATAGTTTTATGCATCCCCGCCACCCCCTTTTCTTTCTCTATCTCTCTTTCTCTCTCACCTGACTTTTTGTCTTTGGAACTGTACAGATGACACACAAATCTCAACGCTCCAGGGTTGGGGGGACTTTTTCTATCAGGCCCATTTGACAAAATTTTTTGGGAGGGGGGGGGATGATAACTGAAACAAATGTTTATTATATATTTAGAGCATTTTTAAAATTGCGCAGCGGCCCGGGTGAAATGGCAGGTTCCCCAACTCTCATGTTATATGTGCTTGTGTCTTCACCGCCGTGTCATCATTTTGTCTGCTCTGTATTTTGTCCTTGTCATCGTCCATCCTACAAGGCATCAGATGTACAGTCTTCCATCAATCTTGAGAGTATTTCCTACCCTTTTTATGAACAATTGGTCACGTGAGTCTTTTAAGAAAAGGGTTTCTCAAAAGCTGTAGCAGTTTATATACATTCTCTTGTATACTTTTAAAAGCCTCAATGAGCAGCCTACGCTATGTACTATAGTCTAAATTGGCTTAGTTTTTAAGATGAAATAGATGCTATTATACGATGGATGCAATACGATTTAAAGGTACTCATGGAGTTTGAGCTTCAAACTTTAGGTCATGTAATTTAAAGAGCATTCTTGTGAAGTGAGTATTAATTGTGTGACTAATGAGTCTGTCCTGAATATTCTTTGTATTTTTGTCGTATTGGGAATAAAATATATATGAATATGTCTCTGACTAGTGTGGTGGCTTCTTAAAAACATGTTTATTTAAAAATGTAAGTGCAAATGATGAAACAATGAGCAATTATATTACTGAAAATTTTATACGATTTATTTTCTGCCTCTTTAAAAATACAGTTGCAAAGTTGTTAGTTTTCTATTTAAGATTACATTATCCAAGGATCATGTGACAGCCTTTTTAGATCTCTGCCTCAGTGTGATAAGACCACCACTCGCGTTATACAGGCTCCCTCTAGTGGTAGGGGAAATAATTACTGGCAAAGGCACGTTCAGATTTTAAATTTTTTAAGATCAATACAGTTGCATGTAATCTCCAAGACATTTATAATCATCTACTTAGGTACAACGGTGAAATATTCTGTAAAATACATTTTAATTGAGCATCTCCCCCTTATATTTAGCACGTCACAGTTGCATATAATATATGGTATTTTTTTTAGCAACACTTAGACCTCCTATTCTACTGTGTTAATATTGTCAGTGTGGTTCTACATGGAAAGATACGTGTTTAGAATACATACAAATACTATTATTGAGATTGTTTACGCAGAATGGAGCATGTAACAGCCTCATTTGCAGCCTTGTGTGAAAATAATGATTTTGCAGTTACAGCTGTGATAGTCCCACAAAATGCATGCGAAGTCAAGTCCTTTACTTAGCTTGGCACTGTACAGAGCCTCTTAGGATTGATTAGCTGGCGCTTTTCAATCCACATTGCACTGCCCTGATAGAATTAACTCATTAGCAGACAACGGAGTACTTGGAATAAAATCATATACCGTGAATTTGAACATAATTATCTCCCATCATGTTATCAGATTTTACTCTTCGTTGGGGGGAAAGTATATCTACATTTATATTTTATTTCTGGTTAAAAAGAAAAGCAAGCTTTTTTGGAATGGATGCGTCTAATGTGTTCTGCCACCAGTGCGTGTCGGCCTTGTTTGTTGTGGTTTTTCTGAAGGGTCAACATGTTGGCGTCATTAACTTCTGTTCCAAAACTCGCCAGCAGAGAGGAGAAAGTCCTCGTTTGACGGTACAGCCCACTTTGACAAATAGGAGCCGGCGCTCTTCCCTAAAAACTGCCTCTTGCTAACTCCGATTGGCCAGCGCCGCGATCCATTACTCTTCATTCCCTTGCGCCCCTCCTCCAGAGAGGTAGGTAACTCGTCAGGGAAAAGAGAAAGCTTATTATTACCTACCAGTTGGCAGAGAGATACGCTTTCTACATTAAACATTGTTTTTTTGGTAGTTTTCTTTCTTATTCCCCCCGCCCCCTCCAACAAAAACCGTCGAAGAAGGACGAGGGAATACGAGGGGAGGACAGCGAAAAGCGAACGCGGAGCAGCAGGTACGTGAAGGGGCCGCAGGTGCGTTTGCTGTGCTCAGTTTCGGTTATTAACCTGTCAACCTGTTGCCTTTGTCCTGTCTCGCCGGGGCTGACGTGAAACATGACCATTCTCACCTAAATGTATCACTGGAGTTGGGGTTTCTACATTGCTGTGTGGTTTTATCAGTTACTTTTGGGAGGTCACCAATTAATCGTTTGAGTAAGGTAGCGTTGAGATAACGAAACGAAGTGCGCTAAATGGTCCCTGAATGCAACACTTTTACGTTGTAGTACTGTACAA